AAGGAGGGGTACAGTATCTGTGACCTTTAAAAGAGCGATACATTCCCACTCTTTTGATTATCAAATTCACTTTCCTTTCGAGGCTTAACTTGAAAATGCAATCTATGTATGCAAAACACTTACCTATTTTATGTACTCGGGCGGTGTCTCGATGTAGTCAATGACGTCATTACAGATGAAGCCAGCTGGTGTCTGATATTGGTGTCACCTGTCTACCTTGGCGAGTTATTGTGCTTTTATGGCACTCTGGAAAGCCTAACAAGGTGTTAGCGGTGTAACAGCCTACTTGGTAATCAAGCATGTACGTCATCATCATGTAGAGAAATTATTGGAAAGAGAAGAACAGTTTTGGTGAAATGTGATCGAATGATTTGGTTACAAGCCTCCGGTAAACTACCTCATCTCCAGTTATCTAAAATCCATGAAAGGTTACGGTTTCGATTTTCAGAGATCCTGCTCAGACGAACTTAAATTTATCCTACATTCGGAAGTCAAAATGATGAAAAATTTACATTCGTCTGACTTAGAAATTATAAGATGTGTTGTACCCGTACATCGGAACCAAATGAGTGGATCACTTGGCAAATACGGCATTTTAAATCAGTAACGACCAAAGTTATTTATGTTCATAACAAGTTTAATAAAAGAACAGTATACATTTTTACCGATTAATAAAACTAATGCCATACTTTTATTTTTTATCAGCGACAATCTGAACAAATAAAATCTAGGACGATTCAAATATTAAAATTTATTTGACGCTAGTGCCTTCTTCAATTATAAACGTAAATCTCATAGATAATTTTTAACAATGGACTAGACTCAAGATCTAGAGTTGTGGAAGAAAATAACATCAAACACTTAATAAAAAGAAATGTCTGGGTTAAAAAAATGTCTGGTTAAGATGAGAACCTCCACAGCTGCATTTACTGATGTCGGTGGATCGAATACCGTGCCTGGTTCTGCTTACTACAATAGAGGTGCTTACTTAACACGCTCTCTAGCTATTTCCCAAGGTAGTTGAAACATAGTTGGGAACTATAGCCATAGCCGATTGTATTGTAAATTGACAATGAGTTAACGATCCGTATATGAATGAATATGCATTATTTACTTGGTTTCCAAAACCATCATCGATGATTTTCCAAAGGCCCTAAAGGTTATATTCGGTTCTCAGTTAAAAAACCTTTTAATTTTTCAATCCAAGGTGGATCTGTACAGCTCAAGGTAGGCTCTAAAGCAGCAATCTGACTAACGACTAATTGTTTTTATATTTTACAAATCCCTGTCATCAGTCCCAAATTGTAACATACACAACGTGCTACATGACTGACATGTTTCGGCTAGCTGCCGAATTCAAACACAAAACACACATAGTCCAGGAATAAACTTAAAAATCCGCTGATACAGCTTCGTTGATGGTTTACTGTTCAACACACAACCCATAAATTTTTCCTACAGTTACCTAACAATGTACATGTTCTCTCACTGATTTGAGAAAGCAAAGTGGCCAATTCGCTCATCAGTGAGACAATGTTAACATTGTCTCACTCTAATTACTTTGTCTCACTCACTCCAGATTTGCAACGTGAAGGCACGAAATAGTGAGCGCATAACATGGAGACAAGGTCGTATGCGCGCAAAATACGTTGGCAGCACTGGCTGTAAATCAGCTGGTCAGCTGTTGTACTGGTGTATCATTAAATGTCATATTAAAAGTTCACTTCTGTGTAAAAATATGTCACGTTTCTTTACCAATTTATTTGTTTTATGGTAACTGTAGGAAAAATATAATGTGCAACTCGAGTGCAAAGTGCAATTGCCTCACTCGAGAAACCATTCCTTCTCCATTTCTCTATTGAGTCAATTGCTCCCTAGTTGCACAAATAACTATAACATACGACATATAGATAAATACAATTAGTTTGATAGGCCTATAACAGGATCCACATCCACCTCTACTTCCGCACTACTTTTTGGAGTTCAGGAGAGACCCAAAATGGCTATTTCTACCAAAAACTCCAACGAAAATGTTAAAATTGTTGTGTTCTTTCTGCAGTTGTTATTGGACATGCACTGGTTATTGGAAGAATATGAATCAATCTGCGGTTGACTAACTTGACCAACAGCTTTATAATATGTTGTGTTAAAAAAAAATAATTTTAAAATCTGTACTATTAATATTTAAATCATTAATTACTGTGGATAATTTTATGAAACTTTTAATGGTAGTTCATATATCTTTGCTTTTTAAATTTTGTTACATTGTAGCCTTAAAAAGTGTTTTAAAAGAAAAATTATAGCAACTTAAAAGTGGATTTAGATCATAAAGTGTGTACTTTATGAAACATTACTGGTACTCAAGACTTACTTTTCTATCGAATTCAACACAAAACCACTTTTAAGATGCCAGGGGCTACGCAGAGATCTTGTGCCAAAAATTCAAAAATAGTCTCAAGTGTCAGAAATATCCCAATAGAAGCTACAGTGCTTTGCAACTCAAAGCTAGAAGTTCTTTGAAATAAAGGAAACAATTTAAAATTCTAAAGGCTTATCATTGCATGTTAAAGTTGAGTTAATCTGTTAATAACAAACATATTTTACTTAAGCAATATAAAACCACTATTGTTTGAAGCACTTACTGTTGTTTTAAACCTGGAGCATTGTTTTTGCCTAACAGTTTTGTAGATTATTATAGCTTTAAATTTGATTTCAGTATAATAATCAAATAACAAAATAACCGTTGATCACGTCATGTCTTATATTTTGTTAATTTCCAAGGATAAAAGAGCAAATTAATTATGAGTTTTAGTGAGTGGTAAATTTGTCAATTTAGTTACTATTGAATGTAAACACGATTTTAAATAGAAACTAAACCTTTTTGATAACTATCAGTAATGAGTTTTGCCTATCTGTGGTACATTACAAGGTTGTTTGCCAACCCTATTGCTTAATTGATTAAGTATCATCATCACTGACCAAATACTTGGTAGTTGCTGGCACAGACAGGTATTGGCTTCAGCTTCTGCCAATCGCTACTGACGTAACCATTACGCTACTGATCCCCTGTCAACTCATCAGAGTTGTGTGTGTAAAAATTAGTCTTTAAGTCAACAAATAACTCCCTTAAATTACTTAACATTGAGCCGTATTAATAAAGAAGAGGTAAACCTTTTACTTGCGAAAATTCGAGGAAATCCTTCTATCTGTATTAATAAAAACTCAAGCAAAACCTTTTACTTTATAAGGAAAAGGTAATCCATAGAAAGTTGAGGTTTTGCTCATGACTTAAGTAAATTGTTATTAATAAAACTGACCATTTACTTTTTCTTTGAAGTAAATCCTTCAAAAATGATGCATCTGATCAGTAGCAGATTATACGTTTAAGTAAAAGGTGTGTGGTGGTTTTACAGTGTGGTGCTAAATTTTAGCGAATTTCCTAAATTGGGAAAAAGCTATTCCGTAGGTCTCATGGTAAGACCTAGACCCATGACCCATTTACTTTTCCGTTTTCAGGTCCCCAGAGGCCAAAAACCTCCTCCGTTCAAATTCATATATATGTGTGCCCGTTAGCACGATAACTCGAGCAAAGGTGATCCGATTTTGATTAAATTTGGTGCAAACGTGTAAACCTACGTTTATTCTAAGGGATTCACGAATCAGCATAATAGGATATGGAAACGGGGGTTTATGAGCGGTTTTATGGGGTAAAAATTGGATTTTAACATTTTTTACCCTAAAAACATAGAATTTAGCAACTTCTTTCCAAGCCATTTTGTAGAGTTTAAAAAAACTATTAATTTAGTATATCGAAGTGGTATTATGCGCCTAATGGCTACGGAGAAAATGAAAAAAAAATTAAATTTAAAATTTCCATGTTATTTTTATGGAGAAATTTTTAAAATGTTGTAGTTTTCTTGTTTATGACCATTATTTGATCAAATTTGCATTCATTTCATACTAAACTATTACATTTTACAAAAAAATAAAAAAAAAAAACTCCTTTTTACCCTCCCTGTAGCAGTAAACCTAAGTACTCAGTTAACCTAAAGCTATTTAAATAGGGAATGAATGTGATATTGGAGACATTTTAGTCTACATCCAATCAGGCAAATGGAAATTTACTTAGTCTGCAGGTTTGCTGTGGCGGGAGTATTTTTTCACCTCCTACTAAGCTATCAACATTTCAATAAAAACACACCTCAATACCTTCCTTGAATCAGCAAACCTAGCTACTCATTAAAATTAATATTATTTAAATAGGAAATAAATCTGACAATTTTCAGGGAATATTTTAGAAGAAATCCAGCCAGGTAAAAGGAAATTTATTTAGTCTGCAGCTGCGGCGAGGGTTCATGTGGTTATACAGTACTGCATGCTATCTACAAAGCATATGATGATTTCTATAAACAAATTTATTATGTACCCGACTAACTATTATCATCAACCAAATTCTATGTCTAGAAAGGGGTTAAGATTCTGGGGGTAAAATCTGGGGTAAAATTCCGGCCCACACACTCTAGATTTTATAATTTAGTTTGTTATGATTAAATTCAAAGCCGGATGCAAAACCATTACACGGAGTTGGCACAGTTAAGCCTTCGAGGGGAATCAGTAGACAAAAATAAACAGGATCAGACGTGTAACATGTGATGTTCCTAAAGAACCATTTACTTCCGAGCAGAAGGATTTGCTCGGAAGGAAAAGGTAATCATTATTAATACGGTTTGAAGGATATGCTTTTACTTTTACCTTTTACTAGAAGCAAATGCTTTTGCTTCATACCTTTTCCTTTTGAGCATATCCTTCTTTTTATTAATACGGCTCATTGTCTCAATCTAACAACTTTGACTCAAATATGTTGGCAACACCACCACTGAAAACCCATGGAAAATAAACAATAAAACTAAAAGTTGGATTAAGTTTCTTCACTTAACTAGACAACTAAGCAGTTAGCCAATAAGTTGTGACCAATTAGGGTATAATTGATAAGCCACTCCTAGGAAAAAGAGTTGTTTATTTTACAAATAGCTATTCTTAATGAAAACAATAGATTATAATAAAATAATCATATCACCTTAATACTAATATTAACAAAATTATTAACACAATATGTACAAAATTAAAATAAAATAGCAGTTATCATGTTACAAACCAAAACCAAGAGGCGAAGCATCCTAGCTGGTCCTGATATTATTATCAACAAAGAACCTATTACAAAAAAAAAAAAAAATGGAAACAAATCGAGTTTAAAATACAAGTAGTAGGTTTGTTCACAGAACATAATTTTTTTTCTAAAATTCATTTCGCTCTAGCGTTACATAAAGTTACAAAAATAACTTGCATCCTGTCAGAAGAAGAATGATAGGGTTAGGAACTTAAATATCATACAATTTACAGGGAAAATTCATAATAACAGTTTCAGGAATCTATTTATCAAATTAAAATCTAAGTACAAATTTTGGCCAGGACCTTCAAGCCTGAAGAGGCCTTTATACTGTGGCACTAACTGCATCCGAGAAGATCGCGCACACCGAACACAACTTAGCAAATCCACTCCGCAGTTTCTGTTTGCAGTTACGGAAGTGCAGATCCAAAATACCTTCCAAAACCGGATTTCTTCGGGAGAGAGTTATGATATTTTCGTTTGCGCCACTTGATCTTCAATTCGGTAATGTGTCATACAGAATGTCCTTGACGCTGGCCGACAGGTTTTCAGGGAACTTGATGTCAAACGCAACTAGGAGATCTCCCTTACGACTTGGCTCCTTGGGAAACGGTAGTCCATGGCCCTGCAGCCTCTTCACCGTCGTTGGCTTCACAATCTCGTTGGTTAGGTTGATTGGGATCTTCTCTGCGGTGAGCGTCGGCACTTCGACTATCGTTCCACAAAGGGCCTGTGACAAAACACGACACTATGAATATAATAAATCACTTAAGAATCACACAATTAGTTCCTTAGAGCAAAACATCACACTGATTTCAAACATTTTCTGTGTATTGTCACAATTTATTTTATATTTACTATTCTTCTTGATAAGCTAGCTAACAATACTAAATGCATCTGAAAGGTCCTAACAAAATTAATGCAGTGATGAATAATTTTTCCAAGGTCGAAACAGTTTTGTATTATGAACAATAGTACAGCAAAATTATTTTTGTGTACAGAATAGATCATGATGTCATTGATTTTCAGTAAAAATTATTATTACAGCTCGAAAGAACAACTGAAACAATCAGATCAGATCCAACCAAGTAAAAAATTGAAAATGGAACAGACATAAATTTTAATGATGTGTAACAAACCTGATGAAGTTTAGGAAAATGTAGTGCAACTTTTGTTAGCAGGAATTTTAAAAAGTTTAAAACAGAGTGAATGGAGTGGAGAAAATGGCTGTCACCATCACTAATCAATAATAGTTATTGTGATAATAAATAGTAGAACAAAACTACAACAAAGGGTTTTCTGTATTAACATATAAAAAGTTTTGGTATTTGAATAAACTCTGAGGACACAATTAAGGTGCAAGTTAAGAATTTAAAAATAACTTAGTCGAGCAACCAGCAAGAACAGTATAATAGAAGCTAAGGAGAGTGTTATACACTGAAGGTGATATCCCATCTTTAAGTTATAACAAACTTTAGAATAAAGTGAAACTTCAGTCACTGACAGAAAGTGCTGGTGTAAACTATTGTTATTTTTCAAAGACATACAACTATAAACCATGACAAACTGGGAGAGCAACTCTTGGAAAACTGTAGCATATTTTATTGTAAGTACTCATTAACAATTAAAGAATTGAAAACTAAAAGAGAACATAAAACTTTAATTAAAATCAACCTATAAGACACTGATTTAACTTAATCTGGTTGTTTTAAGTAAAAAAGATGTCTTCAGCTGATATAAATGGGATGTCAACTTCAGTATTGAGTCCTCTAGGGTATACAATTAATACTTGATAAAAATCTTACCTGTTTCAGAGATATTTTGGCGGTGTAACGAATGTCGCTGCCCTCTCTTTTGAAGAGTGGATGAGGTTTGTCCCTGATGATGAACACAATGTCTGCAGGAATTTTGTTTCTACCCTGATCACCCTCTTTTTGGAAGGTAATTTTTGTTCCAGCTTTCCAGCCAGGTTTGACGTTTATCGTTAAAACTTTGTCTTCTTTTTTGGCAGTGCCGTCTGGTTGTAACACTCTTCTTGATATCTTCATCTTTTTTGTACAACCTCTGACAATATCCTCCAATGTAACGTACAGGTCGTGTTCGATAGGCGAGTCTTGTATTTTGTCTTTTCCTCGGTTTGCGTTGTTTCCGTGGATGTTGAAGGAATGTGAACGGAAAGCACCGCCAGGTCCGCCTCTTGTGCCCATGCCCATGCCTGAGAGGCCAAACGGATCCATGTCCGTGTCCATATCATCATCACCGCCAAAGGAGGAGGCAAACATCCTGTTGTTAGGACCTCCGAGGTCGAAGAAGGTGCCAAAAGGACTTGCTGTGCCAAAGAATTGAGCGAACGTTGCCCTCGGGTCTCCGTGGAAGGTGTAAGTAAAGTTTCCACCACCAGGCGACGACCCTCCACCAGTGTGTCCACCTACGTTTCCTTTCAAACCTTCTTCACCAAACTGGTCATAGACATCGCGCTTCTTCTTATCACTCAACACTTCGTAGGCTTCTGCCACCTCCTTGAACTTTTCTTCAGCGCCAGGTGTTTTATTTTTGTCCGGATGGTACTTAAGAGCCAATTTCCTGTATGCCTTTTTGATTTCGTCATCTGTCGCTCCTTTTTTAATTTCTAAAATCTTGTAATAGTCTTTTCCCATGTTGTGTTTCTATACCTGAAAGTCGAATATATTGTTAATCACCTATGACTGGCTAAGCACATTAACACTTTTCAATAGAAAATAACAATGGATGTTAAATTGTTTATAACTAGTTATTAAAAAATATATTTGAACCACCCTACTTTTGAATAAGTTTTAATGGTGTTATAAATAAATCATGTGACAGGATATTTTACCAATCCAAAATGTCATCCAACGCAGCAATAAAGTTAAGTTTTTAAAACTGAAAACACTAATTAGACTTGTGATGGGTCTTTTATAGACCAGTTATTACAAAAGAATTACTTGAAGAGTGTTAGTTAAAAGAATACAGGCAGGCCTACTAGTTATAAAAAACACAAATGACTGATAAACTTTACACTCTAAGTTAGTGAATTGAGTATTGCAATTTAGGCTTAACAATTGTTGGCATTTAAAAAAATATTCCAAACCCAAGTAAATGTCCCTTAAGCATTCAAGCAATATACAGTACATCCTCTTGGACCAGTTGCTACAAAACCAATGTTTATTAGGTTTTATATATTCAAGAATATTACATCATTGTGAGGTAATCAAAATAATTTTCACCACACTGATGTTTTTAGCTGTTTTACATATGTTAATTGGTGGCTGAAAGTTGCATTTTGCTGGCCATGCCAGCTATTATCGAGCAGGTTTTTAAATCCCTAGGGTCGTAAAATCAGCTACCCGCTTACTTTTTTAAAACATGAATGCATATTAAATACACAGCCAAAGTATCTATAGCATTGCAATAGAATTGTTTTACTGTCACCCCCGTCCTTGCAACTATTTATTATTATTTTTGCTGATTCCTCAAATTATTTCTTCACATAACCTCAAAGTTGTAGTTTTGTTGACTAAACTTATCAGTGTGCATTATTATTGTGGTGAATAGTTGTAATAGGGTATAGGGGTCACTCCTTCAAAAAAGAGCTATCAGACTGATCGCAAGAGTTCCTAAGACTGCACACTGTAAAGACTTTTTCATATTATTTAAAATTTTAACCTTATACAGTTACTCGCTTTAATGGTGAAGGGTGATATAGGATTATTCATGGAAAGCCAACAAAACCATTCTCATAACACGAGATTTAAAAATTTAATCAAACTGGTTGAACATAGGATTCAATTGTTCCACCTCTCCCCTCAATATATGGGACCACAAATTTACAACAAATTACCCACATTCATTAAAAACACTGAGTCTGTAGCTAGCTTTAAAAAACGTTGAAAAAAATGGTTATTGGAGAAGGCTTTTTACAGTGTTGATGAATTCTTATCAGAGCAAAAATAGATTTTAATTTTCTCATTTTTAATTTTAGTCTACTTTTAGTAATAATTAAGACTTATGGACAAATCACCTGTCAATTAACTTGATGTAATGTGATGATTGATAATAAATAAAATAAATAAAAAAATAGTGTGGTGAAAAATTGCATTCGTACCATGGACCGAAATGGTTTGGCAGCTCTTGATTATTTTAAGTTCTCGACTTTGTCTCTTTCAGACCTAGGTACGAAATATACTATTCTGTAGCCTAAGAGCGTTTAATTCAATAGGAAATAATACATTAAATATGAAAAAAACTAAAACCGTTTAACAGGCCGAGTAGGCATCCCTACACTCTGTCATAAGATGCATTGTGTGATAACAATTTAATGGTGTTCTGTCATGGCTAATTAAGCAACTATATTCACATACGGTATCTGAGTAAATGACATGGATTATTTATTATTGTACTAGTAGCCTGACATACACGTTTGTTATTAATATTTTAGTAACAATTGTTAACATTTTGCTTTATCATACTGATAATATTTATTTATACAAGTTATTTTGAAAAAAAAAAAATACCATGAATAAAGTTGTAAAATGACATAGCCTATACAAAAACCACCCAAAATCCAAATGGCCATCCTAAGGTACTCATATGTAGCTATCCACTGAGGGCAGCATTGAAAACACCCCTAGTGACATGTAGTGATTGGGTCATTCATTCAATATGGCAGTAAAGAAACTTAATTTAATTTTAATGTTAAGTACAGCAGATGCTGAAAAGCCTATGCTCCCATCTTAAAATGTTTTCCCCTTAAAAGTAAATTTACCAGTTTGTTAGGTATGACTAGTTTTAAATGTAACACATATTCAAATCAAAGAGCATTCACCTTGAAATTATCCTAAACTATTTCTCAATGAAGAAGCTTTATCTTTAGGTAGAAGCCAGTGTTTCACAGTTACAACACAGTTAAAACAGAGTTTTGACAATTTATATCTAAAACGAGATGGTCAATGTGAGGAGCGTAGGCCTTTACTCGGTGTAGAGATGTTGGTTTGACTACCCAATGGCTGTTAGTTACTTTGGTCAAAAGAGAACAAAAAGAATGGCAAGTATGAATACTCCAAATAAACCATTCTATCTTTTTCCAATTCATATTAGATTTGTCACTAGGCCTACTGGTCCATTTGATTTGAACATCCCTTTTGAGTACAGAGTCTACTTCAAATCCACCTAAACCCCTCAAAACGGACGGTTCAGTAGTATTTAGGCCTACTGATAATGACTGCAACAACCCGATGCAAACTTCACACTCGGATAATGCATTGTGACCAGAAGAAAACGATGAGACATTTCCATGAACATGTAAATTTCCACCAGAGGGCTTTAAAACTTGTGCGGCAGTAGGCCAATATTGTTCACACGATGGTATCAGCCCCAAATTTATCCTATCTGCAACTGCTCGCGGGGCTTTTAAATTAACATCTCCCTCCAACACAGTACACCTGTCTGTGACCTTATTGCGAGTTAAATTGAGATTTAATGCTTCTACAGACTTGGGATTCCACTCACAAGCAAAAACGTGCTTTGCCTTGCCATGTACGAGGTACGGCAATGTGAAATAACCAATTCCGGCAAACATATCTACAATGGTTTCGCCTTCACAAGTAAAACTAGCGATTCGGTGTCTTTCAGATACGTTGCCAGTGCAGAACATGGTGTGTTCAACATTCCAAGTAAACCAAATGCCATTATCCAACAAGGTAACCCACTGAGAGGGGCCAAACACAACCCTGGCATTAGGCGATCTGTAATCATCATTGTTGATCTTGCCTTGTAAAGCAATAGATTTGCCACAAAACAAGTTTGATATTTGCTCCCAAAGCCTAGGTCCTGCTTTGCTCCACCGATCACTAGTAAAATATTTTGAACTAAAAATAATGAAATTATCAAAGTTATCCCAACAAGGAGGAATTTGCTCAATCATCGAGTCTTCCCATAATAGCAAATCTTTCATCTTCTCAATAATCGCCTTTTTAAGCTCTTCTCTTGAGGGAGTAAATTTTTTCTTGCGATGTTTGTTACTCGCCATTTCTGCAAAGAAGAGGATTTGAATGTTTTAACTGTTATTCCTTCCTCTGCATACATATGTAGTATAATTATAGGCTAAAAGCATTAAATTTGTACATTACCATATAAAATATTTATTCATCCGTTTTTATAAGCCGTTTGTGCATATAGAATACTTAGTTCGCATGTACACCACAACTAGCCTCCTCGCCACATCATTTGTGAACAGAACTGTACACCATTTGCAGCTCTGTAGCTGACATGTACACTTTGCTATGTGTCGATTTTTTTGTTTGACTATTGAATCTCTTACCCCATGTGATTAAGGATCAGTAATATGTTTTTTGAATGCAATAAACATATCGGCTGCAGACATTCATTGCCAGATTCAGAAAAATTATGTTTGTGGTCTAAGTCCAATGATAGAAAGTGTAAATATGTCAAGGAGTTTAAAAATGGCTGTGGAAATGACATTTTTGGAAGGAATTGTGTTTTTTGGGTACCCAGACTTCTCACAGGATTCAGAAATCAAAAAAAGGTTCAAATCTTTATTTACACTAAACTATTTACGAACTTTCCTCTCACTCATTGCATTAGGGCCAAAACCTTCAGTCATCTGGCCATGAATGTCGGGATCAAATGTTTCTTTTGGTCCAAAAACTTATCACTGACCTTATATTGCATGCAGGGGATATTCAATGATTTGAAAACACACAGCGAAGCGTACAGCTATAGAGCTGCAATGGCGCCATTCTGTTCACCAATGATACCAGTAAGCGGCGAGCCGACTCGTTGCAGTGTACACACAAACTAAATGAATGTCGATATGTCAAACTATTATTTATCAACATTTTTCTTGAATCTCTTGGACTTTCAGTGCAAACCGTTTATCCCATGTCATCAATCTCAGATTCAACGAAAACTAAAATGTGAATCCAGCCGAAACCAATGCATTATAAACTAAAATCGATTGATAACAATCGATAGGCCCTGCAACCGATTGCTTACAATCCGTTACTTTCAATACAACCGATTGCATACAATCCTTTACTTTCGATACAACCGATTGCATACAATCCTTTACTTTCGATACATCCGATTGCATACAATCCTTTACTTTCAATACAACCGAGTGAATACAATCCTTTACTTTTGATACAACCGATTGCCTACAATTCTTTATTTTCGATACAACCGATTATTTACAATCTGTTACTTTCGATACAGCCAATTGCTTACAATCGAAGTTAACAAGTGAGCAAAATGTACTACTGACATCATCGACTCTCAGCTTGATTTTTACCCCCTAGGAAGAAAAGAGCTACTTTTGACCAGCATATCATGTATTGAAAACAGCTGTTTTTGTTGCAGTAGGCTACAAATAAAAATGACTTAAAGAGCACTAAAAAAGTCTAATATAAGGTAGGCAGAAAAAAACTTCCAAAGATAGCTTGGATGAGGTCCAACAACCTCCTCCAAAAAAAAAAAAAAAAAAAAAAAAAAGAGATAAGAGATAGAGATAATGAGACAGAGGAGGAAAGCAAGAACTGGAGAGAAGTAAAGCAGCTGGCCCGGAACCGTGAACGGCGGAGAGCTTTTGTTGCGGCCCTACGTCCCCCACAGGAATAAAGGAACTAAGTGAAGTAAGTGAAGGGTACAAACACAGTAGAACAGGGAAGGTGACCTAGCTAGTTGTTATCTCACTTACTGCACAGAAAACATACTATAACCCAGAATGCCAACCGCATGGAAAAAAGCGTTAAGTACTTTGAGAGAGCCCCCTTGTCAATTCGTAGGCAATGGCAACGCTTGTGGCGCTGCCTACAAATTAGGTAGCCAGGATGATAGCAGTGAGCTAAGCTGTAAGCAGCAAGAATGGCCAAGTCAATTGTTTACATAGCTTGAATGGCTATGAAAATAAATTGTTAAAGTTTATGTTAGGTCTAAATTGTTTATTGATCAAAGGATATAAGTAGGCCTAATATTGTATTTAACCGTTGCTGTATTAAACTCTTCTCTCTAGTTGTAAACATCATGCTTGTGGGAATTAATATTCTAATAGACTTGTGGAAACTGTAAAATTAAAATGTTTAAAATTTTTACAAATTGTTGTTTATGATTTTAAATTGCTTTACATGTGGTTGTATTAGGCCTTAAAATATGCATGTTTATTAAAACAAGGTGATATAACTTACACATAATTAGAATTTTTAGAGAACTCCACAACCACAACTACATGATTTACTTTGTTAAACAATTTTGTAGGCCTAATCATGATTTTTGTTTCTACCAATCTTAAAGCCCTGAGAAGTAGCAACAACAATGTAGTCATCATTGATTTTGGATATTACAGTACAAGCAGTCTTCACATCCTATTGAACAAATTTGTAACCCTTTTTAACGTATGTTTCTTGCATGGTTAACTTACGTTGGAATGCACTGAGTAATTCTAGTAGTAGGCAAAATGTTTACTCTTCCTAGCCTATACGGTAACTTACCGTATGGTATTTTAAATTAACTAATTTATCAACTGAAATTACCTTTCCTCGATTAAGTGTTTACCAAACACCGGCTTCAATCAAACCAAAGAGTTTTATAAAACTTACCCAATTTTTATTTAAATTAGGCTACCTACTTTAATTTCTAGCATCAACTGAAAATGTTATGCAATTTTTTAGTTTGTTTAGCCAATGTGTTGTCCTTTTTGCATGCGATTGCGGTAAACTTATCCCTCGCGGCCGTGAAGACATCATTATCGTATCCCGCGGCCATGTGGACATCGTAATCGTCCCTCGCAATTGAGGCAAAATGTTAATCATATCCCAAAGTCATGTAGAGACATAATTATTATCGTCTCTCGCAGTCGCGGATGTACGTCATTGTTGTCATGCGTGATCAAGGTAAATTGAAAATTCCAGTAGAAATACAAGTATTAGAAATATAAATATCACACAAAATTCCAGGTTTTCCCGGTAGGTGTACACCCTGTTTTATATAAGATACCGGTACCGTACTAAAGGTCGTCGACTGGTCGAAAACTCGACCAAAAATATGTAATGTACAGACTTCTCTATTTTCATCCCACACTGTAAATAAACTTAAAACAGGTGATTGGAATTTCTTCCATTTGTTTTGATTTTCCGTTAATAATTCATTGTTATTTCGTCACCGGCTTGGCAACCCATATAAGGCCCATGTGAATTTTTACAAATTTTGAATTTATGTTTTGTAGCCTACTTATTTTTTGGCCTATTTTAATTTATAAAGGGATAAACGTATCTTAACAATATGCGTAGATTTTCCCTGTGATGTACACAAGCTAAGAAGTTACTAATAGTTTTTCCTCTAGGGCGCAGACAGGTTCAAAAACGGGTCTGCTTATAGGCCCTAATGTTTCGTTTCAATAATCAGGTACGAGTTAAGTTAAGTGGGTAAATGTACAACGGTTAAAATGACACACTTTATTTATGGGGTGATCCTACGACTAATTTGGGCAGATGTCTTGACCAGTTTTGGGGGGGAAATTTGGGTCATAAGCCTTAGGGGGGATGGGCGCCCCTGAACCTAACCACAGAAAACATAGCTTACTACTATAACCCAGAATGCCAACCGCAGCATAGCAACGCTGGTGGCGCTGCCTACCAATTGACAGGCAAAGCTCTCTCAAAACACTTAATGGTTTTTACCATGCGGTTGGCATTCTGGGTTATAGTAGTAACTTATGTTTACTGTGACCTAACTAACCAAACTTGCTGATAATTAAAAAATAATCGAATGAAGGTTCACTAATCAAATGTTTCAATCGATATTAGCATATAGACCAGTTAAGAAACTGTACCCAAAGCGAGGATAAGTAAATTAGCCTAAGTTAGCCTACATTTATGAATTTAACAAGATTGACTTAACTAGAAATGGCTCCAAATAAGATTTCATATACCCTAAACATACGCCTAGGCCTACTTATGATGGCAACACTAATTCCAGTGACACATTAATCATTTTCCAATGTTTAGCTGAACCCTAATCAGTCTCTCTTGGCCCAAGAGGATGACCTTTCTTTTGCTCTTAATTTACAATATGAAGCAAAATATTGTCATAAATTTGGACGCATAAGCCCATGCCTCGAATAAAACAAAATAGGCCTAGTCCTCAGTTAGTTTGATCAAGCAATGTATCAATCTTAACAAGCCTAGCCTAGGTCATAGAACATGTTGCCTTATGTCATATACAATGAATGCTAACAAAGATTGCACTTGAACATTTATAAACAAATACTTACAAAACAAAGAAAAAAGTATTCCAAATTCCACACTTATTACACTTGACACACAAACAATATAACTTATCACCAAGACCAAGTTTACAATCGATCACCAAGAAAAGCTTTCTCACAATCGTTCTTCTCACTTCGATCGTAAATTACACACTGACAAAAAGCAATGAGGTTTTTCCTGTGGTGGTGGCAACAGACAATACGTAGTATCACGTGACCCCCGACACAGAAAGAACTATCTAGAACATTCGAGAGCTTTTAGCCTTTGGGTTGTCTTCAGCCAATACAAACCGTTATAGCACAAAGTGTTCACTTATCAGTTAGATTACTGGGGATGTATAATAAAATTACTCAAATAAATAACATTTTAAGTAGTCATAAACACGATAAACAAATCATCCGGTTCCTGATTCTGATTCCGGTACAGGGAGAGATCATTGAGTTAGTTATCAAACTGCTTCTTGACTAAAAAAAAAATGGACGGAATACATATTTTATTATAGATAAATAAAAGGGAGTATGTTTTATCTATGATAAAAGTATACTTCGACTTCCATATAGATTAACTATTCATATGGATGCGCTCTTATAGTCAAAGCAGTCTGATAGTTAACTATATTTATATTATATCATATGTTTAATGTTAAAGAAAATTCTAGAACATTTTGCAACATTTAAGTGTGTTCTGGAACTTTCCACAATGATCATAGGGACGTTCACAAACATTCCAGGAATTTCTGTACTGTCTATAATTAATACAGTAGTTATTTAGAATGTTCTTGGCCGTTATAGAATTTCTAGTAGGCAAAACTTGCAGGTTTGAGATCTCTAAAATCTTATTGGATCCATCTAGTACACTCTACACTCCTGGCTATCCATGGCAAAAAAAATAGCTTCAACTACTTGGATTTTATGAATGGTGTATAGTTACTTGGCAGTTTTGGACTATTATTCGCGATACCTAGAATATTAATAAATATATCTACAATGATTGTTGATGAGCTGTTACAGAAGATGAAATCATGTTCTGCCCGCTATGGAATCCCCGAAAACGTTGTTTCTGGTTCAAGATCTAAACTTACATAGAGAAGTTAGAGAGTTTAGAATAGAGAGATTTTGCAGCCATATTTTGGTTAAAAAACAATTAAAAGCAGTGATCAAGAAAATAGTGATGTCTTGCAGTACAAGCTCTAAAAAAATCGTCATCAAGTACAAAGATCCAGCTTTTACGCACGTATTAGAATACAGAGCAACTCCATCAGGACCCCATATCATCTTAAAGGTATAGTCATAAGTTGACTGAAGTTGACTTGTACCTCTAACTACAGCATGCATTTATATAATTTGACTGTGTCTCATGCATTTATAATGTCTATAGACGAATAAATATCATTTAATTTTATTCAGGTTGAGTTGTTACGAATTGTATTATTCAATAGAACCTGAAGACGCTGAAGATCTTAAACCTAAATGGTAGACCACATAGTGGATTCAAGGAATGGGATAAAATTACTGAAGAGATCAAGTGAATAGGAAAGAAGAGAAGATGTGATTTAAGAATAATACCCCCGCTATTCTAAGCGAATTTCCATTTGTTTTAATTGATTTTCAATCAAATCTATTTTAATATATCATTTAGGTTTGACCAGTAACTAAGTTTTGCCGCTACAGGGAGGCTAATAAAGTGTGGTTTTTAGTAAAATATCAATAACTTAGGATAAAATAAATAAATTTGCCAATTTTGATCAAAATATATTCATAAACAAGCAAACTACAACATGTTACAATATTCTCCCTATAAAAAGCATGGGAATTTTTAATTTAAAAATTTTAGAATTTTCTCCGCTACCACAATAACCGTACAAAACATTTGATATATTAATTATTTGTTTTTAAGCTCTTTAAAAAGGTCTAGTGATCAATTGTAATTTTTTTTTTTTTTGAGGGTCAAAAATTAGAAAACCCAATTTTTACTCAATAAACCCCCCATAAAATCCCGTTCCCGATCATGCTGGTTCACGAACTCATTCAAGTTTATTCCGCCTTACACCTTCAAACCAAATTTCATAAAAATCGGACAAAAATTACTCGAGTTATCGCGTTCACGGTCATATATAAAAATAAATAATATATTATTTGAAAGAATAGTGTTTTTGGCCTCTGGGGACATCAAAATGAAAAAGTAAATCGGTCCCGGGCTCAAGTCTTACCATGAGACCTACGTTAATAGCTACTACTTCCCTATAGGGAAATTCGCCTAAAAGAAAGAAATGAAAATGTTGTATTTTGTTATTACTTATATTAGTTTTAAATCATTATTAGCATCAGCTGTGGTGGATATTTTTGTTTAATTCAGTGCATTTAATAATAGAGTAAGTCTCTAAAACCTGATTCTATCTTATTATTCAACAATAATTTGACCCATGTTAAAAAAATATATGGGCTTGTTCGATACTTTACCATGTATTTACCTAAAGTTTGGTACTTTTTATAGTACTATGCCATCTTAGTACTATAAGAGCGAAAAAGAAACTCTTTGGCGCATTATGTTTACTTTTGTTTTGTAACGGAGTGGAGACGACACACTGACAGAGAGGACGTGATGTTGTCAAATTTACTCTAACCAACCGGTTTGCGGTTTTTGAACACTCATTCTTCGAGGAGGGACAGAGTTGACTGCAACCGTCGTCTGCCTTGCCTTCTCAAACCAAACTCAGCAGAGCAGAGAACTCTATCCTTGTGTAATTGTGATTGTGACTTGCAATAATTTCCCCCCAAAAGTATGGAGGTAAGATAATTCAATAATTGGCGTTATACCGTTATACTTATAAACTACTCTTTCCACAAACAATCAATTTTACTCTTAGATACATTATGTTTTAAAAGAATTATACTTTCAACAATCGGACATTGTTATTAGAGCTCATTAAGTTATACATTTTTGTTAGATCATTGTACAATTAATAGGCCTTTAAGCTAATTTTCTTTCATATATTATTTTAACTAATTGCCAATTGAAAACTTGGGTTAACAGATTATTCTTGGTCGTGCTAAATAACTTAGTACATTTGTTGACAACAAAAATATTTTAGGTTAAGAATGGTAATTTTAAAACTAGATAAACACATTAATTTGATTTGTCCCACGTTAGACTGACAAAAACAAATATAGGTATGTGAATTTGAACTGATGGTGTTTTTGGCATCTAGGGACCTCAAAACAAAAAAGTATAAATTGGGTCCATGTCTTCCGATGAGTACTACGGTAGGCTACTAATAGCTTATTCCCTATGAGCTATGAGAAATTCGCTAAAAATACATGCAGATGAGGATAACTAGGCTACAAGAAAAATATATACACTACTCAATATAACGTCTAACTTAGGAAGTTCTAACTTAGAAAATCATTTGGTTTGTAGGCCTAAGTTAGAATGGGTTGTTAACTAAATTAGCCACATATGAATTTGAGCTTTATAGGGAAGTGATAGGAATTTGATAGGCAATTTATTCAGAGATTTTAGGCCCAGAATTTTATGACTTTTTTCGTTAATATCGTGTCTTTATAGTTTTTAATATATCTACTGTATCCCTTAAGTTATAAAATATACTTAGCCTACCAAAATATTTAATTTAAAAAGTGTGAGTTTGATTATTCCTTAATTTTTTATAATCGTTGGCTGCACTTTACTTGACGTCCTACACTCATCCGATTGTTTTTATCGATTCGATATTTTCATTCGATTGTTTCATTCGATACATCGTTTGGTTAGTTAGGTTAGGTTAACCTTACCTAACTAACCAAACGATATATCGAATGAAGCAATCGATTAATCGATATATCGATCGATAAAAACAATCGAATGAGTGTAGGACGTCAAGTAAAGTGCAGCCTAATCATTAATATTAATTATATTGTGTTAAATAGTTGTGACTGATACCTAAATATTACTTTTTGCAGATTATATTTAAAAAGTAAACCAAAAAGTTCGAACATACAATTTTTTGACAGTCTATCCCAAAACCTTCACTATTTAGTATTTACTATTTGACACAGAATAAATGTTAAGATATTGCGCAGATTTGCGCATTAAGAAAGTAAAAGTAATGAAACTTATTCATCTATACTTATATAATGTATGACCATAAATCTAGTAGGCCTACTTCAAACATCTAAACGCAGACTTTAAAGTAATTTTTATTGATTTATATAAAAACGTGCTATCCAAATGTCCCGTGCAACACACAGAGAATTCAGATGTGTGTAGGGCCTTTCCTTATCCTAGCCAAATATTCATCTATAAAATTCGTTCATAAAATTTAGGCGGTTTAAGGAAGTGATTCTATCACTTCCATTTCACCCTACTCTGAAACAACAGCTGATCAGCTGATAAATACATTTTAGCAAAAAAAAAGTTGTGGGGGACCCAGGAAAACTTGTCTTTAAACAGCCTAAATTTTGTCAACAAACGATAGTGAGTGAACAATCTACAAGTCCTGTTCCAATGTGTAGGTTTAGTACCCTAAGAATAGTCGTCCCAGATCGTGATAGAGCTGTGATAGCCTTTAGCATTAGACCAACTACATTACTACTAAAAGATTAAAAGATTGCATGTAGGCCTAACTCTAAATAACAACTAATAACATTTGAAATGTATTTAGTTTTTAATAGAGTATTTAATAAAATCATTAATTTTTTGACAATTTAACTATCCTAGTTTGAAGTAAAGCGAATAGAGAACAAGCTGTGAACAATATCGAAATAATTTGTGAAATCAGAGGTTATTTATAGAAAATAGAAAACATATTGCCTAATATCTTGATATTTGTGTCTCGCACCTTTCTAAGAGGATTCTACACCTACTATTTAAATGTCTACTCTTTAAAGACATTCTACTAGATTGGTTTAAGATGATGATTGCTTTTAATCAATTATAATTAGAACCTTTAATGATCCGCAATATTTTGTATCTGCAGATCATGGCTAGAGTGAGTTCTGTATGTCACAATCAAAACTTGTCATTGAGGGGGGTTTTATTTATCTAAAGTTTTGATTTTTTGATAAATTAACAAAAAAATTTTCTACAATTATTGCATTTAGCAAGAAAACTTAAGATTTCAAGTCGGGTTGTAAATTTAATTTTGCCTTT